CATTTGTCATTTCATTAAACATGCTCCGATTGTGGAAAATGGCATATCATTATGTACAGCAGATTCTCACGGTTGAAATGAGTCCAAAATCAAAACAATCCATTGCGTTTTTCGTGTGTAAATAATACCTAAACCCATAAATTGAAGAAATCAGTTGGAGAGCTCAATTGAACACTTGGCAAGCAGAATGTAAAACCTAACCAGGGGTGCGTTTCCCAAAAACAACTATGGTCGCAAGTTCAGTCATTACCAATAGAGTTCAATGGAACTGACCTCCATAGTTAGCTAATGATGCTTTTGGGAAACGTACCCCAGTGCTGCCTAGTTCCTCTAAACCGGAGTGTACCGCCGGCGGACGTCCCCTAGCGAAGAAAAAAATAATAATCATATTTTTCAAAATCATTCCATTGATCAACACAAAATAGGTGTCATTTGAAAGCTTGGAATCTGTCCTTTACAATGCATGTAGCCACTTTGATTAAGTCCTAAGTAGTGCTGACTTATATGCGGATAAATAGAAAAAAAATATTTTCTTAATTTATGAAAAATGTTTTTAGTGCCATGTACTCTAGTATGTCAGAAACATCATACAACTCAGATAGTCATGTGTCATATGTCATTTGAAAGGTCCCATCGAGTAGAATAAAACAAGTATAATTGTTTGGGGCTTTGACTAAACTTGAAAGAGGCATTATTTCAAATTCAAAACAACAATTTCAAAACTGTAAAGGGCTAAGAAAAAGGCTACCTTGGTTCCAAATGCTGTAACTTTTGATTACTTCATGATATCACCACAAAATTTAAATCACATACAGCACATATGTTGGGAAACATCACCAAAAATAATTTTTCTCTTACCTTGTTTTTTTCATGAGACATTGAACGTCAAATAACAATGATATGAAAAATTTCCCTCGACCACACAATTTTTTCTTAAATTTTATCACCTATTTCTCAACATGAGAATATTCAAATACATTTTCCCCTGAAAGGACAGAAAGTTTTCTATCAAACGATACCAACCTTTTGACTCTCCTTGCTACAGTCTTCGAGTTGAGTCATTATTTTTGTGTATGTCACTAAGAAAAAATAAACAACAACTTCAGTGAGGCAAAAATGCCCTCAGGGTTTAAAGCAGTGGTCGGCAACAGGCGGCCTGCGGGCCAAAACCGGCCCTCCAGCAATAATATCTGGCCCGCGCCCGCAGCCAGATTATTTTGATAGCGGCTGGTTCTGAAATAGACCTGTCATGACAGCAACAGTTACTCACAATCAGAATTTGTGAGCGGAGCAGAGTGGGAGCGTAGTGGTGTGATTTTGACTGGAGCGAGGAGCGGAAAGTCGGAGCGTGGTTTTCACTCGCTCCAAGAGCGCTCCACTGCCGCTCCATCACGAGCACAATTTATGCCAACAGCCCGTAATATAACTGCATATTTAGCAAGAATTCACGTTAAACATATTTAGCTAGCTTGATGGAGAAGGATCACTCAAATCAGAAAGAATGTGAAGCTATGATGACGGCAATGGACATGAGCGGAAAGTTATAGTTCTCAAGGAATTTGTTCCTTCTAGATACTGAATATTTTCAGCTGAAAGCATGATTTAAACAAGTACTACAACACTTATTCACACGCAATCGCTCTCTCAATAATGCATTCAAACAAATGTAATCTTACAGTGCTACTTCATTTGTATCTGCTTTCGAATGAGCAGCAATCTGTAAGAAATGCATCGATCCATAGGTAAAATAACTGCCGAAAACGTACTGTTATTTTAATCACAAACTAAATTTGCACTGCAAAAAGCAGCGATTATACCTTTTAATGCTGACAACCATGTTATTAGCTGATGTCATGTGGTAGGAAAAAAGTTTGAACACTAGTGTTCTAATAAGCCACTTTGAAACTCTGCTGTTATTTTATTTATTTTATTTTTTAATATAGGTTATGAACAGAACTGTGATATTTCCAACATACTGAAATACTTTAGCCGCAGAGCGGTGTTTCTGCGAGGAGTGGAGCGGTAGCGGGAAATGGTGAACCCGGAGCGGAGTGATTATTAAATGCTCGGAGCGCGGAGGGGAAATTGTGATGCTCCACCCCGCTCACATACTCTGCCGGACACCTCCAAACAAATGTGACTTTTTGTTAACGACTGTCCTCCTACAGGATTTAACACAGAGTAACAGCTCACTACCAGCTACAGAAGACACTGTAACAGTCTGTCACAGGCAATTCTAGTTGCATTTTTCTTCAATTAATTTCTGAAATGATCCTTTGACTATGTTCTGGCCCGCCATCTAGTGGCAAATTTATTTATTTTTTGGCCCGATGCCAAACTTGCGGACCCCTGGCTTAAAGGGTTAATATAATGACATAGGAAGTTGCTGTAACTCAGGCATGCAATGTCTAATCTGCCCCAAACTTAACATGTTTGATAAGACTCCTGGGCTGAACACATCTACATGCCCATATTCGGTTATACTCATAGCGCTACCTACTGGCAACAGGAAGTGACATGTTTAACACTGTTACGGACTACTAGCAACATATTAAAAAGCGTCAGCAAGTGTTAAATAGGCTAGCAACATGCTCAAACATGCTATCAACACGTACTAAGTGCTAAAGCATGCTATTAATGTAATGAAACAGGAAGTTGTTGTAAGTCAGCCATACAATGTCCAATCTGCCCCCGAACTTCACACGTTTGATAAGAGTCCTGGCCTGAACACATCTAAAGGCCAATATTCAGTTTATAATCATAGCGCCACCTGCTGGCAACAGGAAATTACTTGTTTAACACTAACTTAAACATGCAAAGTCCGTTTTCCCCCAAACTTCACACGTTTGGTAAGAGTCCTGGCCTGAAAACTTCTACATGCCATTAATCAGTTATAATTTATAGTGCCAGCTGTTGGCAACAGGAAATGTCATGTTTTACTTTAACTAAAACATGCAATGTCCAATCTGCCCTAAATTTCTTGTTTGATAAGAGTCCTGGCCTGAAGACATCTAATAGGCCAATATTCAGTTATAATCATAGCGCCACCTGTTGGCAACAGGATATGTCATGTTTTAGACTAACTCAGTTTGATAAACGTCCTGACCTAAAGACATCTACATGCCAAAATTCAGTTATAGTCATAGCGCCACCTACTGGCAACAAGAAGTGACATGTTTAACACTGTGATGCATTATTAGCAACATAGTAAAATATGCCATTGTGTGCTAAACATGCTAGAAACATGCTAGCTACACTTACTAATTGCTAAAGCCATGAAACAGGAAGTTGTTGTAACTCATGGATACAATGTCCAAACTGCACCAAACTTCACATGTTTGGTAAGAGTGCTGGTCTGAACACATCTAAAGGCCAATATACCATTATAATCATAGCGCCACCTGCTGGTAACAGGAAATTACTTGTTTTACACGAACTTAAACATGCAATGTCCAAACTGCACAAAACTTCACATGTTTGGGAAGTGTCCTGGCCTGAAGACATCTAAAGGACAATATTCAGTTATAGTCATAACACCACCAGCTGGCAGCAGGAAGTTTGGCACATATAAATGACTTTGACACATTCCTCCTATATTTACAACTTTAAATGCATATTGCCCACTGTTGCTGTCTTCCTAAAGGCACCAGGGGAACAGACTGGACTCGATTACCCTTTTTGTTTCTTTTCTCGTAAGTTCAATACTTTTAAAAATAACTACTCTGTAACTGAGAAAAAAGCATTAACATTAATTTGGGCTCTTCAGTACTTTGATGTATATGTGGGTGGAGGATTGCCTTTAGAAGTTTATTCTGATCATAACCCTCTAACCTTTTTGCATTCTTTACAGTCCCCAAGTCAGCGGTTAATGCATTGGATTCTATTTTTACAGCCTTACAATTTAAGTCGTGTTCCCTGACCATAGCGAATAGTGTACTGTTGTGTTGGAACGGTTAATTCTGTTATTCCTTCGCTTTCTTTGTCGTCTTAATTTGCTTTCAGGATCCAGATTGCTGAGGTTAAGGAAGCCGATTGGGATCATTCAGATGACTGTGAGAACACTAATGCACTTTTTGATTTTGTTTGGTGTTTTGCGGAATCCTTATGAGATGCAGGAACTTTTTAGGGGGTGTGTGATGTCTCAGTGGATCACCCTGTGTTTGTTCCTGAGTTACAGGTGACTGCAGGTGATTGGCTGACGTGGTTTTGCACCTGGACTAAATCAACGTGCTTTAAAAGGGACTCATACGAACAATAGAGTGTGGGGACTATTTGCTTGTTGGCATCTGTGTCTGCTCATGAGACTGCCAGACCGCTCATGGGATATGGAGGTTACAGGAGATTGCCGCCGCACTAAAGGAGTTCCCGTTTTGATTCATATTCCTCTAGACTGGACTTTTGCGTTTTGATTATTTGTTGTTTGTTTGGACTGCTGTTATTTATACTACTTACAAGCACTTGCCGACATACTGACTATCATCTACCTTGATTACTAAACATTGCACGTTTATTTTTATAGTTAAATAAAATGTGTTTTGTTGAGCAGTGGTTGTGTGCGGCATCTCCTTAAATTTGGCTTGCGTTCTTAGGAAAAGAAACCTAACACAGCACTAAAATGCCTTTGCATAAATATCATATACCACACATTTTGAAAAAAAAAAAAGTATTGAACTTCTGAATTTAACTCATACTGCACTGTATACTACAGATGATACAACCTGTTGAGAATGTGTGTGCTAAACCACCCAAAACAACTGTATAGCACTATGGAAACATTTTCTTTAGCAAATATACAGATATAGTTTAATATAATGAAGTTATGAGAGTGCTACTATGTTAACATATTTACTTTTCCATGGCAGACATGCTCCTTTATCTGTGCAGGAAAAACATTGTGTTTAAAGAGCCGAAGCACTTTATGTAGATTGTTCAACTTTGATATTGTGCTCTTTTTGAATGAATAACGTAATCAGGCCACTCAGAGAAAAAACATTACTTACATTTGTGTCCACGTCCATGTTACCAGATCTAAACAATGAATGTCTATCATCTGCATTTCCTGAAATGACAGACAGAATTTTCAGTATTTCATGAGGAAAAATATCTTGATATACTATTGTATTTCTGGTATAACAACCAGGGATTAACCCTGAAACAGGCAAGAGTTGAAAATTATCAGCAAAAAAATCACTTCATGTCACTTTTTATATCATCTGGACTTAAGTAAAACATATTCAAAGGAGTTTTTGAAATATTTTATATATTATGGATTTAATGAGTAGTATCTCCTAGGATACGTTGCCCTATTAGGGTATAAAAACAGCCGAAGTCATCAGTAATGCTATGATTTATTTGATGCAAACAAATATGTAATATTCAAAATATGCTGCATGTATGACATGTTTAAGTGTCCTAAAATTGAGGCATAGACATTTCTTGTATTTTTACATCGCTGAACTGTCTCGTCTTCATCCTCATGGGTGGGCAATTCCATCCCTTGAAGTCCACTGTCCTGCATGGTTTAGCTCCATTTCTAATCAATCATATAATGTAATTTATGTAACAACTTAGATTTGTTGTAATCCTGAAGACTTTGCTTAGATGTTTCAGTTCTGTTTGATCAAGGTTGGAGCTAACAACTGCAGAATGGTAGCCCTCTAGGAGCAGGGTCAGACACCCCTGTTCTACCATAAAATGAGCTATGTGAAACCCTGCAAGAAAAAATCTAGTTAAAAATGCAAAGATGTAGTCAACTAAATGTATCAGTTTTACATGCAAATATTAACATTTGCACAATTTTTAAACTCAAAATGAACAGAAAGTGGACTGTGCACAGGGGGCCCCGGGCCAGGAGGGCCTGAAAGGATCTTCCCTAAGGGCCCCGGCCCTGGAATGCGATTTCTACTGAGGAGGATCCCCTCCTCTAGACGCGATTTATAATGCCCAAACACCCCCCTACCCTCTTGATGGAGGCCAGTGCAAGCAGGAGTAGAGTTTTCATTGACAGAAACTTCAGCTCGACTGTCTGCAAAGGCTCAAATGGGCCCTGCTGTAGTGCTGTGAGCACTACAGCATGTACACTACCCGTGTCTTGTCCGTCTCGCGCATGTCGGCCAGACACAGCCAGAGATGGCGCTCCTGGACCACCATAGTGGACATCGCATGACCCAGAGACCGCGCCGTAAACTTTGTCGCTTGTAGCGCGAGGTCTGTCACAGTGCGGAGTTCCTTGAGAACTTCCGGGTCGTGACCACCCTCGTGCAAGTCCCTCAGTGTCTTGGCCTGGTGAACTTGCAACAACGCCGAAGCGTGTAAGGCGGAAGCAGCTTCTCCACAGGCCGATCAGAGCCGACGAGTGTCTACAGACCCAGGAGGGGAGCAACGGTTTGCCCCACCAAGTGGTAGCGGCATTTGGACACAATTGCATCGCAACCGACCGCTCCACCTGGGGAACTCCCGCGTACGGTGCCGTCCATGACCCAGTGAGCTCGTCATGCACCTCCGGGAAGAAAGGCACTTGGGTGGGGCCCTGAGAACCAGTGCGAGCCACCCTGAGAAACCAATCGTCCAACCTCGAGGGTTCGGGACGTGGTGGAAGATTCCACTCGAGCCCGACACTCTCAGCGGCCCATGAAAGCATAGCCATCATTTCCGGATCCGAATCCGGCACCGCTGGCCGTCCAGAGAGCGGCAGCGCTGACGGATCTTCCTCTCCAGAAAAGTCTGGCTCACCCTCCGATGCAGCAATCGACATCCGATCGTCGGGGGGCGCCTCGGAAGATACAGGTGGTACCCTTTTTGAGGGTCCAGCCTGCTCTCTCGACAGCCCCACTGGTTTCGAAGTGCCGGCGGACGGAGGAGCCCTCGGAGGGGAATTCCTCACTGTCACCATAAGACCAGTCCGGCCAGTGGCAGAAGTAGGGCACCCTCGGCTGCCGCCAGGGGGAACCCTAGATCTAGGCAGTGGCAAGGGCACTCGGCCCCTTTGCAGGAAACAGAGTCTGGTCCGCAGCTCCGAGATGGTCATACTCCAGCAATGGGAGCATGACTCATCCACAAAAGCCGCCTCAACGTGCTTAATGCCCAGACACGAGAGGCAGCGATCATGACCATCACCCGGTAACGACCGCACCCAGAAACGCACGGATGGAAAGACATCTTTAAAAAGACGCGTCTTTAAAAAGACGTTCCAACCAGTCTTACCATTACTTGTGGGCTGATTGACGGGCTCTCTCCCTCGTCAGTGCGAGTTTTTAAAAGTCTTTTACAGAATTATGCATTGCTGCTGTTTTTTTAACATTTTCTAACACAGCTGCAAATTACAGTCCAACTGAATGGGTGAACACGCACGAATTTACATGCGAGACATGCCAGAAACAGCCTAAATAACAATTATCATAACAAAACTCATCAAAAATTATGCAAAAACACATTTTATTTATTTTAGTTATTTGAGATGTTATAATAGTTCTCTAATTGTGTTAAAATAGATTAAACAATAATTATTTAACAAATATTATATGCAGGGGCGGATTAAGTGATTTGGGGGCCCCAGGCAAAATACAGGAATGGGGCCCTATACAATTTCACACATTTACAACCTTGAGGTTCCTTTCACTGTTGCTCGCTGCTGCACGACCGTGTTGTTTGTTGGGCAAGATGGCAGATTTGGTGTCAGGGGCAGATTTAGTGATTTGGGGGCCCCAGGCAAAATACAAGAATGGGGCCCTATACAATTTCACACATTTACAACCTTGAGGTTCCTTTCACTGTTGCTCACTGCTGCACGACCGTGTCCCATAGTTGTGTCCAATCTTTTCGATTTTTCATGTACATGTTATAAATAAAGGATTTCTTTAATGTTGTAAATCCCTTGTTCACATTTAAACAGGTTATAATAGTATTAGAGTAGGTTGGGCACTAGGTGGTGCGTTGGGGTAATTTTCACTATGCAATTGTCTCTACACAACGCAAGGCTGTCTAATTCTAAACTTTAAAATATACATTTATTTTTATTTATTTTAATTGCACATTTAAATAGTAGAAGAGACATATGAGGATCTTGCAGCATTGAGGGCAGTACAGTAATTGAGCAAATGTTATTTCAAAGCCAATGAGTGCACAGTGAGTCCTGTTTTTCTGTACAGTCTTTCCAAGCGACGTCCCATAGCTTTCATTGCTCGAAGTTCCGGAGTGAACCAAGGTGAAACGTGCAGATGGAACCAGTCTAGTTTTAACAGGAGCATGTTTCTCAAGTATCTGGGAAATGGCATTATTATAGATGGTGCATATTTCTGATGGACAGTTGGATAATAAACAATCTGACAAGGTAGAAACCCTTATTGAATCAGAAAAAGCAGATGGATACAGAGAACAGATTTTACGACAAGTGAGCATTTTTTTCACAGGCAATGTAAAAATTGGAAAACTAAAACTGAAGTTTAGTAGTTTGTGATCTGAAAAAGCAAAATCAGTTCCACTAACAAGAATATTATATAAGCCAGATGTACATATAAGATCCAATATATGACCCCTGGAGTGAGTAGCAAAAGTTACATGTTGAGTTAGACTGAAACAGTCCAGAACAGACATCAATTCATTGCATTGTACAGTGTTTTCATGTATATTAAAATCACCAAGAAAAATTACAGATGAATAACTAGCACAGACAAGAGTAAGTAACTCACTAATCTCAGAGAAAAAAT